AGTCTTACACTGCTAAATTAGGGACGGCTAGCGCAGATAGCCCTCGTGTAGCTTTGCGCGAAATTCAAAAACAAAAAAAACAAAAACATAATTATTTTTAATTTTTGAAAGTCAGCTTTTCTAAAATCGAGAACTTGATCCTATTAACTTTAGTAATAATGCTATAGTCGCTAGTATTGAAGCTCAGTGTCACGGCTATGTTTCTAGTCATTTCAGTAATAAGAATAAGATCTCAAATAGTGTATTTTACAGGTGAGTCTTTCAAATTCTGGGTTAAAATCTCCCGTAACTTCAACAAACTATTTACCATCACTTGAAGAAAATAGTCTGATAGACAGTTTCTCTAAAATTATATTTTTTCATAATAATGATTCTGTTTTTGTCATCAGCTTAACTAATCTGCTTATGCCTATTATTTTCGGTTTTAATAGCCCAGTTATAAGATCTGTAAAAAATGCTAACAAGAAACCGTTTCCCTTTTTTGTTAAGATCCCACATTTTTCCGTTTTCTCACTAAATTCTTTCATAACTTCAGCAATTTTCTGACAAAGTATCCCCCTCCTATTTTTATTTTTATGTTCCTGCAAAAGACCGCAAAATCTTCTAATTTTCACTGACTGAGACGCAATAATATTATTATAATTTAACATGTTAACGGCAATTAAAGCTTCCAATTCTAATACATTTAAAAATTGTGGTGTAAATGTAAAATAAACCACACTTATTTTATTTAACTTTTCCATTAATATACCTAAGTAGTATTTTCTAAAGTTAATAAATTGTTCTCGTATCTATCTAAAGTTAGCTGACACGGGTCTTTACAAAATCATTTAGCGCTTCCCAAAAAACTATAATTCACAGTATACTAAAGTCGGGCCCATCACGAGCAAGCAGTTCTCCCCTATTCTACAGATTTAACCTGTTTGTTAACTAGATCCCTGCTAAAAATAAGTTTATATCTTCCCACATGCCTAAAATCCTTGTTCACACCTGACACGAAAATGGATTACTGAAAGAGTTACTTGGCAATTTTCATCTTTCAATCTCGGTAACCCTCATTTCTGTAGGTACTAACATAATGTACTTCGACATATATATATATATTTAATTTCTGCCAACCGTCTTTCAACTCTTTCAGCATCGTCCTGAATCTTAGCTCTTAGTAAGCATATTCTAGACATGGGGTTCTTGTGAAGTCGGTTACATACAAACATTTTAATGCACGTACTTAGTGCAAACCCATTACAACCATCTAACGCTCCTTTCTTACCCTGTTCTTATCACTAGCCAGAAGCTCAAACGTATTCAATAAAGTTGGCCGTTTTCCAACTAGCTTATCCTCCTAGTTGTATGTCTTTGTTATTACGTAGAACAGTAAATCCGGCATTTTCCCTTTTCCTAATTACCTATAAAGCTTTTCCGATACCTTTCATTAAATTCAACTTTTTTGTTTAAAACATTTTCTCTGAAATTAAAACTAAAGCATACGTTTCACATAATTGCAACATAAGTAACAAGTAAATGCATGCTACAGCGTGATCAAATCTGAAAATACAAAGAAATAGTTAAAAAAACGTGGTTAATGTTCCATCTAAACGACCTCCATCAGGACATTTTAGTCACATATTTCTTTCCCTTACACTGTTTCTGCACATCTGCCCTTGCAGGTTTTTCTTTTCTTTATTGTGCCATTTCTGAAAAAGACACTGCATATTAGCCTATATGTCAGAAAATTAAATTAATTCGAGGTCCTGCTTATTCTAGAATACTGAACAACATTGCGGTCACTTGTGTTCTCCGATGGCTCAACGATGTGCTTTAGAGCATATAACGCTAAAATTCGGAATTCGATCATGCAGTGGATATCGACAGTTCTGCGCCAAAACAGAAACTTAATTTACTAAATCATGAAAGACTTGGCAACAAATATATATCCTAGTAGAAGCCTGCTTTAAAAGAAGCACAGTATGTAGACACACAAGAAGGGTCAAGATGGAAAACATATTTGTGCAAAAAACTAGGTATTATAGTATTCAGTTTGTACTGTTTCAACAAGGGAGCTAATTAATTATCTTGACGTTTAACAAATCCCTCTTTTGAAGTTTTTGTCTTTCAGAAACCATTTGTTCACATTTTTATTTGACACATGCAAGAGAAAATGACTAACGATATTTTTCGCTCATCTTTCTTTTAAAACTTTTCGTTTTATTTAAACATTTTAGAAGAAATGATAATCAATATTTATTAGTCGTATTTGTGTGAAAACACTGGAGAACTGATAAAGCACGTATATCATTATGCTATGTTTATAAGCACCAGGAACTTGATAAAAGGAAATTTTTAACTTTTAACTTTAGGTTAAACTTCTGGGGCTCTAAAAACATTTCTTTGTTTTGTCATCTTTGACGTCAAACAATCAGGAAAAATGTGACTTTAGTTTTGTTTGAAATTGTCAAAGAACTGAAATACGGTACTAATTTTTCAGCTCTCATGAATCATTGGTGCACTTGGATATAGAATTTAATATTCAGCTTTAATAAAAAAAGGCTGATGAACATGTTTGTGTGTTATATTTTCAATATTTGATACAACCGCCATTGGCAAGCAGTATTTATTTATTATTTTTGGTCTCGCATGACCTGATGGTTAGGACGCTCAACTCACAATCTGAGGGTCGCGGGATCAAACCTCGTTGCCTAACATGATCACTCTTTCATCCATTGGGTGTTATAATCTGACGTTGAATCCCACTATTTGCTGGTGAAGAGTAGCCCAAGGATTGGCGGTGTGTGGTGTTGACTAGCAGCCTTACCTCTAGTCTATCACTTCAAAATGCATCAAACAAACAAAAAAATTCGTCTTACAACTCTGTTTGAAACAGCCATTGATAAGCAGTATTTATGTTTCAGCTCAATTGAAAAGCGTCACTGATAAACATTGCGTTTATCTATAAACTTTTTTGAAATCCCCATTGAAAATCAGTGTTTTTGTTTAACTATGTTTCAAACTCCCACTAATGAGCAGTTTTTATCTTTCAGCTCTGTTTGAAACCGCTGGTGAGCTGATAAACGGTAGCAAGTGTGATTATAACTTTATTAGTAATATGACCAACGAAAGTAGGGGGCGCTTCTTTTCTCCACAGTACCCCAGCATCTACCCCAAGAATGTCGACTGTTCTTATCGCTTTGCTGGAAATCCCAACGAAAGAGTAAAAATTATTTTCGAGCAAGTTCATTTACAGAATAATGACCTAAGGTGAGAAAAAATGAATTATTTTATTCAAAAACAAAACTAATCACCTACGAGTATTTAATAAGTATATTTGGTTATAGATATAGAAGAAAGTATATGACAAACGGTAAAAAAAAACAAATAAAAACATCTCAATTCCGCACATGAAAAATGGAGTTAACTTCCGCACCCGAAAAATAGGGCTAACTTTGTGTAATTGTAAATAAAGTTTAAATCTACAATAACGGAACATCACCAAATTTATATCGATATTAGTTTCGACACTTTTACTTGTCCTCTTCAGTCCAAACATAGGATTGAATAGGGCACGTGCACGTGTCGAAACTTGTATCTGTACAAATTTAGTGATGTTCCGTTATTGTGAACTTAAACTTTATTTCAAATTTCTCTATACGGTACTGAGTTTTTACCTACTATTAACCTTGTGTGTTTGAAGTTTATTTGTCTCTCAGAAAATAAATACATCTCTGACTTAATCAAAATCTAACTTGACCCAAATTATTCACTTGTACAGGTGCATATTATTTTACTCAAATGTGGAAAAACTGGAGGTTTTTGTTTTTGTCCCTTTTTTTTTTCTTTTTTGTGTAGTAAGTAACTTTAGAATATCCAGACATATTTGATTAAATTGCTTTTGTCTTCGTTTGTCAGTATAAGAATCTGATACTGGCGGAACAGAAAACTTTGCTTTACCTTTCAATCTTACCCTCACGCAAACAAAATGCATGGTGTGTCTTATAATATTTTAAACAGCGAAATCGTGGTTTGGTACTTTTTCAAAAATTACTCACTAACTTAATGGGAAGTTATTTTTAACCCTGGGATTATCACTGGTGTCCATGGCTTTTTAAAATCAATTTTTTTAAACACTGTGCATCAAATTGCTTGTGGATCCATCCATGACTTGTTGGTTACAATGTCCCTAAACATGTGAGTCACAAAAAATTAAAAATACCATCAATATAGCAATTAAACTCATTAGTTACTGCTACATATTTTACATAGAAATGCATTAATTCTAGTGCTTGAAGTGAGGCGTGCTGAAGTGGGATTTCATTCCACTTCTTTTTCAGGAGGACCTGAAACCATCCTGCTACCTTTAAGTAAACTGTAAGCTTCTAAAAAGAAAATGTTAAATAAATTGTGCACTAAGTACTTACGGCAGCAAGGGACTGGGAAAGAAACTATATTTTGTTTCTTAAAATATCGTGCAAGGACGAGGCAGGAATGAGACAAAGTAGTAAAGGGATGGAGGGAATGAACCCTCTAGCTACGGGCTCGGTCGGTGTGACCCAGTTCGTAACCACAAAGTAACCATCAAAGTTTCCATACTATAACTCGTAACAGTATACAGTTATTTATACTTGGTGTTATTGTTTTATTGCCCTTTGAACCGTGTCTAACTGAAAGTCCCGCCACACAAGTTATAAGTCAATCGGAGGGCGTGCAGCTCACGTAACCATATCGAATTACCGAATGTACGAACCTCGTGAAGAACTTTTGTTTTCATTACCTTACTTTGTTCAGTCTAATAAATTTTGATTTGTACATTTCAGTTAATTTTATAATAATAAATAAAGAATAGCGATGAAAAACAAGAAATATAGTACTCAGCTTCAAAAATTTCGCAAACCATTCCGCTTCCTCCTATCCTCACTTCAAGCACTAGTTATTTCATCTGATTGTTTTTATCAGTTCTTCAAACTGGTTATTGTAACAAGCAAAACATTTACTCAGTATGGTACAATGTGAACCCCGCAAGTAGTGAATGTATAGAAACAAGTCAAGAATTCAAGTGTTATATCTCCTACCGAGGAAACATGATGCTGAGGTTCAAAGAAGATTCATACAGACATACTAATACTGATCTATAGACGCTTGTCTGACAGTTTGATTCGTTACAGCTGCCTGATCAATCCAGACAAGATCGAGATTTACGATGGTGAAAGTAGTACAAGCCCTATGATTGGAGAGCTTTGTAACACCGAGAGTTTTGTGGATTTTGTATCAACGGGTCCTGATTTGTTTATCCTCTTTCGCAGTCGCGGCCATTTTCCATCTCAAGGATTTAAAGCTACCTTCATGTTTGAGAATGATACTGCCCTAGGAGAAGACCTAGAAACGCCGTCAATGGGTGAGTCTATACATTTCAAACTTAGTATTGTTATATCACTCATGCACGACCCTATCAAAAAGGGGAAGAGCTCCAGAAATATCATTAGTGGATAAACGTACATATTTAACCTTAATAATATATCATAACTCACACGCACACAACCATATTAAATACAACAGAAAACCTGGAAACCGATCATGGATTTCCCCATTTAATAATAATACAATGTAAACAAGCACAGACGTATATAACTTGACAAACAAAACACAGATAAAAATCTACAAGAATTCAACAAGTGGACCGGGCGTAGCCGAAAGTTAGTATGCCCGAACTGTAAATCTGATAATTCCTGGTTTGCGTCTCCTTGTCGCAAAACCACTTTCCACACTTTCAAGCCATTAGTGCGCTATAACAGTGATAGTAAAATCCCACTGTCCGGTCAGATAAAACTATCCCAAGAGTTGGCGGTGGGTGTTGTTGACTAGCTGCCCTCCTTTTAGTTTATCAGTTCAAAATTATGGGCAGTTAATTGTGGATAGTTTTTGTGTAGCTTTGCACAAAAATGGGAAAAAACGTACAAACATCTACAATTGAGCCTATATCTTTAACATATAGAAATCATACAAGCAGAGCAAGTGAAAGTTAATATATAGGAACACAATTTAATAGATGGGCTTAGCTTAATTCACACAAACTATCAAACATGATAAACAAGTCAGGGTGTTTATTATTTTGACATACAAAGTAGCAGTTATGAACTGGACGAATTTCTGGAATATTTTATGCCAATATTCAGTATACGGGTTGTATGAGTACGCAAATACACATATGCATCCCACTCTTTCGGTGATTTTGAAAGTCGTTTTAAAATTTAACAGAAAAGTAAATATCATAAAAAAATCGCACTATAATTCTATACCTAGTGCTTATAATTTAGCACAACAATATTCCGGCACTCAGTATCGTCTCTAAAATTATCACCTTAAGATATTGCGTACTGATGCGTACCGATTCAACATTTTCACCTGCGTATAAACATTGCAAACTCAGCAATACAGGAGAGATTTAGAGATGCCTTTAATCTTAACATTTAGTAGTACTATACTTTATTCCCCTATATTGAGAAGATGAAACAGTCTATTTACAAATTATACTGTTCTAAAGTTTGTTTGCTTGTAGTTGAGCACAAAACTACACAATGAGCTACCTGTGCTCTGCCCACCACGGGTATCGAAACCCGGTTTTTAGCGTTGTATTTTAAAGTGAGGAAATTCTTGAAATATTTAAAAACGTGGTGTTTCTTAAGTAGTTTTAAATATGTAACAATATTTCTAAGTAAAAATTACTCGATACTTTTAGGGTAATAGTTTAAACTCATACAAGTTCTCCCGATGGTTTGTTTGTTTGTTTTGAATTTCGCGCAAAGCTACACGAGGGCTATCTGTGCTGGCCGTCCCTAATTTAGCAGTGTAAGACTAAAGGGAAGGCAGCTAGTCATCACCGCCAACTATTGGGTTACTCTTTTAGCAACGAATAGTGGGATTGACAGTCAGATTATAACGCCCCTACAGCTGAAAGGGAGAGCATGTTTGGTGTGACGAGAATTCGAACCCGCGACGCGCAGAATGCAGGTCGAGCGCCCTAACCACCTGGCCGTCTCCCGATGAGATAGCGGTTAAGTTTAGGCACGTGCAACGCTAAAATCCGGGGTTCGATACCCTGCGATGTACATAGCATATAGTCCAATGTAGCTTTTCTCTAAAACAAACAAACTCACACAAGACGTTATATCTACGAAATTTCATTCACCAGTTTCATTGCTGTCAATGTATGTATGTGTGTGTCTTGTATAGTGACTTCTTAAGACTAATCAGAAGCTCTACGTTTTTAAATATCACATTAACTAACTTGTTACTTTTAAATGTATTTTAAATAAAAATATACTATTTTCTTCCAGTTGTTTTTAAATGGGTAAATTGATATATGTTTAAGAAAAGCCATGAAAATATTGGCCTATTTTAATTCTTCTTCATTGTTAAACAGTTACTATTTAGATATAAAATGGCGTTTTTAAATGCTTTTTTAACGAAGTAGCAAAGTTAATTTCTAGTAATACCTTTTGATAACTTATAGTATGTATTACTTTGTACTCACCAAAAATCATATTTTCTTTAGTTGATAAAGATGATAATTTAAACTTCCCTGGATACCATTATATTTTATGAAAAAATAATTAATTACTTTAATATTTTGTACAGGATTTCATGATTAATAAAATTAAATGTAATACAAATAAATAAGTATTTAAATAAAACGATTTATTCAACAATATTTTGGTAGTCATCATATTAAATGAGACAAAGGGACATCTGTAGGCTTACGAAAACAAGAGAAGGTTGAACAATCGAAAAGTTTTATAGTTTTGTTAAAGAAGGATGACGTTTCAAGCTAGCGCATGCGTACAGATTTAAATTCATAGTCGTTATCTTCACTACATAGCCTGTGTAGTCGTGGAAACTGTGAGTATGGTATAGATATGTTGTTACTCTACAGTTGGGAAGATTCGAAGTGTAGGTAAGTGTGTGTGAATTCTGGTGCACAGTAACCTTAAACAAAAACAAAACGATGCTCCAGGCACTCATACATGTAAACGAAACAGGTGTGTCACCTGCCCACATATAAACAGCACTACACATCTACGAGGAAAAATCACAACTTTCGGCATAAAACAGCCCTTCCCATGTACCACTCAATGTCTCATTTACTGTATAATTTGCAATAGTTTATGCATTGGCCAAACAGGCCGCCGTCTCGGTGATCGAGCACGAGAATATTTAAAACATATTACACTGTGGAACCAGGATGCACCTGTGGGCAAACATTTCACCAACAACAACAACAATATAGTTGAGGACTTTTCGATTCTTGGACTTGTTAGTGGTCCGACAGTCATTCATAAAAGAGAACGACTGAAAAGGAGTTTAATCTACAACGTGGAAACCCTACAACCATCTGGTTTAAGTAAACGCTTTTCTTTCCTGTAGATTCTCATTTTATATTTTTTGTTTAAATTTTAATCGCAATCTGTTTTATCTTTTCATGACTTGTAAAATTTATGTAAAATATGTAATTTTGCACAGAAATCTCACGCTCAACATTCCAAATACTATACGCGCAATTTCTTTGAATTCTGCGCATGCGCCTTTGTTGTAAGCTGTACGATATGACGAAGAGCACTGGCTCAAAACGTCATCTTTCTTTAAATAAAAATATTAAAAAACTTGGCGATTGTTCAAACTGGTCTTTAATTTCGATGTCTTTGTCGCCTATGCGGTTTTAACTATGTATTTCGATTTACGAAAACAAGAAACCTTTGAGGTTATTAAACATCTTAAAGCTAAATTCGATGACGAAGAACCCACTTTGAGCAAATGTACAACGTTTCGACAAGGTTTTGTCATCATCAGGTACCTGTTATGTTAAATGTATATTAAAGTTTTTCTGCATTACCCATTCAAGCCGTCTCCAAGCATTATTAATCTTAAAGCTAAATAATGCACTGGGATATGATCAATAATATTTTCGTAGAAGAAACAAGTGATCCTCAGATTTCAATAGAAACTGGACTAATATATATTGGACAGATTAAATAATTAATAAACATTGTAGCATCTTGTTTGGTGTGTGTTCCATAATTCCATAGAACAACTAGCTGAAGTTTGCACTCTCGAAGTTCTGAAACATAGAGTTTTACAACATTAAAACAGTAGATTGACTTACTATTTGCTTTTAACTTCATTGATATTGCTTTTCAGTTCTAATTTACTGAGACTATTCTTATTGGCTGTTGCTATCTAGATTCCCCTTTGGTATTTTAATTAATATATATGTGAAAAATGTTCTAGGCCTATTTTTGTTTAGTCAATGCCTACGTCAGTCAAAACATTAAACAACGATGCCAGATGTAAAAACTTACAACATTTAATAACTAAAACTAAAAGTAACGTGTATTTACATTATAAAATAACACAGTATCTTTTAAAACTCATAAACCTTTATGAAAGACACTATAACAAATTGCTTGATAACAGCTCTTGATAAAGTAAGGAGGTGTAACTTCTCTCGACTGGATTATTGTTAAGAGTAAATTAACTTGATAAAGTTGTACCTGTTTTGGTGGGTTCTGTACAAATTTGATATAAAGATCTTAGAAACTAAATAAAATTCTTAAAATTTGGTTTTTAAAGAATGAATACACTGAACAGGTTGGATATTAATTTTTATTTTACATAATGTGTAAATACATCACATTTTAGCAAATTTATTAAAATATTGTACTGATTTTTACCGTATTTTTCGGTGTATAAGACGCACCCTTATTTTGAAGAACATGTTTTGGGGAAAAAAAGCTACAGTCGAATTTGAAAGATTTTTATTTAACAAAAATTCATTTTGATACTTTAAAAATTAGTATATATTGGTCTAAACACAAAAGAGCTCAAAACATCAAAATAAGAAAATACCGTAAATCAAAAAAAAAAGTTTACTAGTTAT